GACATCAAGCTGGCAGGAATAGCCAACACTCCAGAAGACAGGCTTAAGATAGAGAGGGATCTTGACAGACTTAAGCATTGGGTGCTATCTAACAAAATGAAATTCAATGGTGAAAAAAGCAAGGTTCTACATTTAGGCAAGAAAAATGCACAGGTGTAGTATAGGTGGTACCTTGCTGAATAATTGTAACTGTGAGAGGGATCTTGGAGTCCTAGTGGACAATCACTTAAACATGAGCCAGCCATGTGTTGCAGCTGCCAAAAAAGCCAACACAATGCTGGGCTGCATCAACAGAGGGATAGAATCAAGATCACGTGAAGTGTTAATACCACTTTACAAGGCCTTGGTAAGGCCACACTTGGAATGCTGCATCCAGTTTTGGTCACCACGATGTAAAAAAGATGTTGAGACTCTAGAAAGAGTGCAGAGAAGAGCAACAAAGAGGATCAGGGGACTGGAGGCTAAAACATATAAGGAACGGTTGCTGGAATTGGGTATGTCTAGTTTAATGAAGAGAAGGACCAGGGGGGGACATGATAGCAGTGTTCCAGTATCTCAGGGGCTGCCCCAAAGAAGAGGGAGTCAAGCTATTCTCCAAGGTGCCTGAAGGCAGGACAAGAAGCAACGGGTGGAAACTAATCAAGGAGAGAAGCAACCTAGAACTAAGGAGAAACTTCCTGGCAGTTAGAACAATTAACCAGTGGAACAACCTGCCTCCAGAAGCGGTGAATGCTCCAATACTGGAAGTTTTTAAGATGAGACTGGACAGCCATTTGTCTGAAATGGCATAGGGTTTCCTGCTTGAGTAGGGGGTTGGACTAGATGACCTCCAAGGTCCCTTCCAACTTTTATTTTTATATTATGTTATGTTATGTTATGTTATATTAATTATATTATTATATGATGATGATGATGATGATGTTTTGAACTGACCCAGCTTTCGCAGGCAAAGAAAGGACACCCAGTTCTGAGTTGTGAGGATGGGTCATTCATTATTCTCAGGAACTTCTCTCCAGGTCTTATCCTGCTCAGCATAGCAAGGCGCTGACTAACTAGCTGCCAGGGGAGGGAAGAGGTCAACGTCAACATTGGGAGGATTTCAGAGAGAAGCAGAAGGGAAATGGAACTTGGGTGGGGAGGAAGCAATTCCCAAGATTTGAAGGGTTGACCTTGTGGTAGGACCAACATTGGAAGACGAATCCTCTTCAGCCAAACAGACGTGGGGGTGGGGGTCTTATCTTCAGACCTAGATGGGGTGTTTTGGGGTTTACCCACCATCCTAAACCATGAGATGTTCAAACATTGTTTATGGAATGAAGAAGTGATGAGTGTGTGCTCAACAGCCAAGCCCAGAGCATGGGTTGAAGGCATCAAGCTTGGCTTCCCCTTGGAATCCACAATGATGGCTTAGCAGGGTGTACGAACCCGGGCACCAAGTTGGCCAGGGAGAAGATAGGATCCTCCAAACTAGATCAGACGGGTCTTCTCGTGGTCCTCCCGTTCTCCAAACCCTCTCTCTTTGGTGGTGGACATCTCTTCAACGTTCAACCTGGCTAGGATTCCTTCAAGAAGGGCAGCCCTTTGGTCTCTGTGGTGGGGTGGACAGCGTTGCTTTGATATTGTCTCAGAAGAAGGCATCTCCAGGATTTCTCCTTGCTGAGCCCTGTGGCTTTCTCTCTCCTTCAGGTCAACGCGGAAGGCACGGTAGATGAAATCTTCAAGCAGGTCTGCACTCACCTGGATGTCCTCAAGTAAACTCCTGGAGGAGCTCTCCCATCTTTTCATCCTCCCCCCCCCACTCCCTTCTTCCAAGACCTAGACCTGTGTAGATGCGCCCCCTCCTCTCCCCTCCGCTCTGCCTCCCTTTTCATCTCCAAAGACCGCCGGGGGAGGAAGTGGCTTCATCCTGTTTTCGTGGACAGAGGCCCGTGGAGGAAATTGCAAGGACAATGCACTTGGCTTCCTTAAACCTCCTCTCCCAAAGTAAAGCTGGCTTTCGTGAGATGAGATGTTTTTATCCTTTGCTTTTTTTAAAAAAAACCAATAATAATAATAATAATAATTAGTTTTTCACCCTCGATCGTGCGGGGAGAAACGTGTCTTCTCCATCTTCTTTCTAGGAATGGAGAAGCCCTCTGCAGATGCCAAGGTGGGTTGAGGACAATCTGTAACCCTTCCAGATCCCATCCTCCTCTGTCAATGCCTCCCAAACACTCCCAGATCTGCAAGGGGGGGAAGGCTGGCTGGAGAGCGATGGGTCTTGTAGTCTGAAGTCCCTGGAGCGCTTTCCACCTGGACAGGAACAATTCGGGAGGAGTTTTTGAGGCTTTGAAACCACCTTTCGGATCTGCAGAAGTTAAAATTCTTAGACAGGCTGTTAAATGTTTTTTTTCCTTTAGATCTGTTAGCCTGGCAGGAAATATGATCCTTTAGAGGCTGCATTTCTACATGCAGGCAGGATCTACCTGGCCAAGTTTACCAATGACAAATTCTTTAGTCCTTGCTGCGTTTCTTGCTACGGCCTCAAAAGTGGCAAAGAGCTGCAAAAAAAAAACCACACACCCCAGCTTTTTCTCCACGAAAGAAAGAGAAAAGGGCACATGTACCTCTTCGTATGCCAATTTCCTCTACTCTTTTGGGGAGACACTCCCCAAACCTAGACAGACTAGATCTCCTTGGAAGGGAAAAAAAGGACAAAAGATTTCTTCCAAGTTCTAAGCTCCCCGATGCTTTATAAACCAATTCAACCACTCCAGGAAGCAAAATTCCAGCTTGCAACTTTAAAATGAAGAAATCCAGCCAGCCTGCAAAATTTTCTCCCTGGAGAGAGAACAGGGAAAGAGGATGCAAAGCCTCAGAAGATCAGGCTATTTTTTTCCCTAGTCTTACACACACAGGCAAACATGCACAAACACACTCCAAGTCCCAGCTTTGTGTATCCTTGTGCGCCTGAATTTCCTTAGCAACTAAATATTTGCTAATCACAGGTTGCCTTTTGCTTTGAACTCCTTTTTTCTTTTAGGGTCTGCTTTAGGGAGGGTGAGAAAAAAAGGAGAAAAGGGGAGTGAAGGAACCAAAGAGGGGTTTTTTTCCGGGGGGGGCGGGGACAGGATGTTGCTTCCTTATCTGTAATAACATGTTGTCTCATTTTTCACCCTTCAAAATTGCATCTCTCCAGATTTTTGTTAGGGTCTCCTCATGTTACGAAGGCCCACTAAACATTTCTCTGCTGCTTGTCCTGTTTCTTTTCTTTTTTTTAATTTGGTCCAAATATTTATAAGAGGTGGGAAGGGGAGGCAGCAAACCCCTCCCTCTCAAAGTCTTAAAAGACCTGGCCTATGGTCTGAATGTATTGATCAGATTGTTATTAAAAAGCATTTAAAAAAAAAAGTCTCATGTTGATAGCGTACGTTATTTCAAAGTTGGAAGGGTTTAAAAAAAAAGAATAGGTGGGTTAGCTTTGACACATATTTAGGGACTGTTTGAAGTTAGGCCTTTTGTTTTGTAAAAGTTATATATATATATACATATACAATATATATAAACAACAAAGGACCTAATTTCAAACAATCAGTGAATGAACGATTGTAAGTTGAGGACGAGAGAGAGAGAGAGAGAGAGAGATGGATAGATAGATAGATAGATAGATAGATAGATAGATAGATAGATAGATAGATAGATGATAGACAGATAGACGAATGGATAGCGAGATAGATGATAGATAGATAGATAGATAGAGAAGAGATGGATAGATAGATAGACAGATGATAGACATAGACATAGACGAATGCATAGCAAGATAGATGATAGAGAGAGACAGAAAGATGGAAAGATGATAGATGGATAGATAGATAAAGAGAGATGAGAAAGAGATGAAGAGATGAAAGATATAGACATGGATGGATGGAGGGAGGGATGGAGGGAGAGAGAGAGAGAGATAAAGAGATGAGTGAAAAAGAGAAATGAAATATATATATATAGAGAGAGAGATGGATGGATGGATGGATGGATGGATAGATAGATAGATAGATAGATAGATAGATAGATAGATAGATAGATAGATAGATAGATAGATAGATAGATAGATAGATAGATAGATATAGAATAGAGCTGGAAGGGACCTTGGCGGTCTTCTAGTCCATCCCCCTGTTCAAGCAGGAGACCCCATACCATCTCAGACAAGTGACTGTCCAGCCTCTTCTCAAAAATCCCCAGTGATGGAGCACCCACGATTTCTGGTGGCAAACTGTTCCACTGATTAATTGTCCTCACTGTTGGGAAGTTTCTCCTTAATTATAGGTTGCTGGTCTCCTTGACCAGTTTCCAACCATTGTTTCTTGTCCTGCCTTCAGGTGCTTTGGAGAATAGCTTGACCCCCCTCTGTCTTGTGGCAGCCCCTCAAATACTGGAACACTGCTCTCATGTCCCCCCTATTTATTGTTTTCTTTAGAGATGATGATGAAAGAGAGACAGAGAAAGAACAGAGATGAGATAGAGAAAGAGGAGAGAGAGAGAGAGAGAGACTATCAGAACATTGCTGGCTCTACCCAAGCT